TTGCTTTAGGCTAAGCCTAGTGACTCAGGCATATTGTTAATAAACATTTATTGATGGGATAAAGATCTCACTAATTCTTTGTTGACACTGAGGCTGCCAAAAGATGTACATAATTGATGTCTTTTCCCAACCTTATAGAAGTTTCCATTATATCCCACTATATTTCCTTTAAGAAGTTTCAACTTATAATGAAGCTAGGAATAACAGGACCTTGACTTACTTAAGTCCGAATTAGCAAGTCAACTTGGCAATTAATGCTGGTTATCAAATACTTTCACCTTCACTTTCTTTAGTCCTTGGCTGCGACCCTCGCTAGATACATTTATACAGACTTTTCAGATAAAACTGTTTACCCAGCATCAACAAAGAGGGATCTAACCAATTAGAGAATCCACTGCCATCATTTACTGAGCCACAATAATTGTATGGATTGTTGCTGGTTACAGTCATATCATGAATAATTGTTTTAAATATTGTTTTAAAAATGCTAAACAAATAAAAACAGCATCTATGATGCATAAAAATGGCTAGTGATTCTGTTAAGAAATAGAACATGAAATCAGGGTAAAAACCATAATGATACAACAGCTCTGCTGTGAAAGAATCCTTTTCCTAATATTTTTTTAAATACATAAAAACATTTTCTTGACTATTACAACATGAGATAACTGATTAGTTAATTAGTATCAAAATTTCAAAATTACCCATTATTATTTTCTATGTTTCTGGTAAAAAAAAGAAATAAACAAGTATGTTTAATAGGAAGGGAGATATATAAAAAAACGTTAACCATTTGGCTGCCTCCCAGCAACTCTAAAAGCTCTTGTTTCAGCTACAAACTACACATTTATATTTTTCCAGATGAGAAATGAAGAGCTAAAAACTGCAACATCCTAGCCATATACAAGTAAGGCTTCACAAACTGCATTCTTTGAACTAAGAAAACTTGGCAAGGCAAATGATCATCTAATGCCCTAAAAATCAATATATTAAGAGCATCTTTTAACCATACATATAAAAATAAGCAGTGCTACTTTAAAAAGACTATTTTCATTTTGCCCTTACCAATAAGAAAATGTTTCCAGGTACATTTTTACAATAGAGTGCTAATTCATCAGCAGTCAAGTATACCTGTAGCCTAAAAGAGAAGTCTTGTTGAGACTGCTTGATTTGCAAGAATAAGTTAACAAGAAATTCTAAGACATCCCATTGCTATTATGTAGTAACTGCTACAAAATAAGCTAATAGAAAGATAAATGATTAAACTGCCAAAAATGTTTGCATACTTTAGTAAATTAATTTTTAAAATAGAATCTCAATACCTCCAGAAGGTAGATTAGTGATTTTTAAAGTCTTTTCTAAAATATATCGTGATGAGTGTTTTGGGTTCTCAATGTCAATAACTAACTTTAAAATTGTTTAATAAAATTTGAGTTATTTCTCAAGCCATTTAGTATAATGTATACATTTACCTAGGCTTTAGAAAAAGTTATATACAAACTTGGTATCCATGTGATGATTAAAAAAAACTAAAAGTCCTTGACACATTTTTACAATAAGTAAAATTGAAATAAAGTGCTCAAACGCAACCTAGAAGAAAAATAGGTTGCAGAGGGAGGGGTGTGTACCTTGACAAGAGAATGAGAAAATGTAATTTATCATTTTTCTCTTTTCAAAGTTAGATTTAGATCCAAATTTCCTATGGCTCCCATATTTGCATCCTAACTCTACCCGCCATCTTGACCTATCTGCAAAACTTTCCAAGTCTTAATTTTTATTTATCTATTATGTTGTATGTACCCTGATAAAGTATCTCAATTGAGATAAATAGGTATAGTGTGTACATCATAAGGCTACTTGTACTAACTTAATATTAAAATATAATAAATCTCTAAAGTTAATTTACACATCATAAACAGGAGTAATACCATGTAGGGATTAAGAGCAAGGGCTCTGGAAGTTTCTAATCAGTTCTGCCATTTATCATATGATGTTAACTACACTTAATCTTGGGACTCTTCTCTGATGACTCCTTCTTTGTCAAGTAAACAAGGTAAAATAAGGAATTTTTTCAACACAGCACGGCGATTTGCTGTGCCAGGCAGTAAATGGTAGCTACTATGTTAACATGTAATGTTTAATATGGTGGTTAATTACTATGTACTAATCAGCTATTTGTAAGGCTGTGTGCAGTCTAGATGGTTGAAGTGTGCAGGTGATAGGAAGGGGAAGTAGGATAGGCAGCTGGCAGGTCCTGAAGGGTGAATGGTTATCTGAGGCTGAGCAGAGAAGCCAAACCACACAGCAGGTCCCACAGTGGAGAAGTAACCTCGTTAATGAAGTCTGAGTGGAGGGCACAAAGGCTCAAAGTGGGCAGGCTTGGAATATCCTATGGCAAAGGGAAATTAGACTTGCTCCCTTCCCTCTCAAAATTCTACAACCTAGAAGATAATGCTACATGTAATTATACCTCAAGAGTTTTAAGCAATCTTGCGATGAGGGACCAAAATAAAAGTAGATGATGTATATTCTCCCCACAGACAGGGGAGGCAGTGTTGGACAGGAACAAAACGAGAGCAAGCAGAAGCTGACGTCTGGTGTGCAGGACTCAGCTGTTAACACCTCCATTGGAAGCAGCAGAGACAAATAACCAATGAACACAAATGTTCTCAAACCCACAGTTGTCATTGCCTCTCACCTGCACACTGAGAAGTGGGTAGAGGGGTGCATGTTACTGGCACCAGCCTGTTTGCAAACTTGTCTCCCATCTTTCCCAAAGGTCAACATGATTCACCCATGATGCATGTGGAGATAAAGAACCACTGACACTTTCCCAAAGCAAAACAAAGGGGACTGGGACTCCCTACTTTTAGTCTAGAGTGTACTGATCACAAATCAAACGTCCTTAAAGTTCCAGACTCTCCCCAATCCACCCTTCCCCACAAGATGGGGAAGCTAAATGAGTGAAATTTTTGGAGCTGTATTTGGGTTGTTCCATTGATAAAAGGACAAGTTAGAATCAATTCATCTAAGAATTTATCAAACAGTAACAATACAAAAGACTGTGAGGAGGAAAAAAAATTAAATATAAAACAGCCTTTTCACTTTTACATGTTCTTCATAACTTCTGGTATATTTTACCTCTGAAAAGAGGTGGGCAAAGTAGAAATAAAATTCAAACTTATGCATTGTGTGAGCAACTTCCATAAAGGTTTGTGTGAAGATAGTCTGTTTTAAGCCAAAAAGAACATACCTGCAGATTTCATTATCTACAACATTAATCTTGGACAATCCGAAATTAGATTCAGTTATAATAAATGAAAAGTTTTCTACAAGTATTTGTGCATGTATGCCTTTATGTTGTTCAACTATATTACTTAATGTTTTTTCTTTTTTTAAAAAGGACTAAGCATGTAAATCTGTTAACACAGAAAAATATCTAGGATAACCATCCATCTTACTAATTAAGGGCTACCTAGAGATAACCAACAGTAATTGGTCCCTTCACAAACTCATTCAGCACTATTATGAGTATTTCTATTGCTTGTTCTTTCAAATTTTTACCGAAGTAGAGATTGAGTCCAAGTGTGTCAAAGCACATAGTTTTACAACTTTATAGTTCTTTAATAACAATGCCATCAGTAACAAAGTGTATCAATTATCTCAGGGCTTAAACAATATGGAGTTTCAATATTTTTGCTACTGCATGTAAAATGATCAAACTTGTTTCAATTTATAAATACAGTATTTGCAAATACAGATGCACTTAGCCACTAGGTGACTACCTTGTTTTATCTTTGGCAAAGTGCTTATCTTATATAGCCACTTAACAAATAGCACCTTAATAGTAACCTTATATAGCACCATCCATTCATTACACATCTATTTAGTATTTATTTAGTATTTATAGTGTGTAATGTATTAAAGTCAAATAGTGAGCACCTTTATTTAGTATTTATAGTGTGTAATGTATTAAAGTCATATAGTCTACCGGAGAGAAATGACCTGGCCCCTCCCGGAGTTTAGTCTATAGAGGTAAGTATATGCCGGCAGAGAGGTACCCAGAACACATGCTTCAGGCCTAGTAGCCATGGAAACTCGATTATAGTCCCAGCTTTTTCACTACCTAACTATGTGCCGTTGGGGAGGTCCTTTCACCAATTCCTTTAAGCTTCAGTTGCCTGATCCAAAAAATGTAGGTTCGAATCAGGCAGTCACAACCATGTCAGCCCTAAACAGTCTGAGAGTGTAAGCAATTCGAGGTTGGCGACAACAGCGTCTCATTCTGCTGTGCTGTTCATCACCTAGAAAAGTAGTACTCTGGATGAAATGAAAGGCAGCAAGGGCCCAACTTGCGCTGCGGGAGATTCCCCGCCGTCCCTTCTCACTCTTCAGCTAATTCTTCAGGGCATCTTTAACGGGACGAAGGCCGGGGTATCTGCGGTGGTGGAGAACAAACTGTGCAGCTCTCTCCCTTCCTGCAGCCAGAGCAGCTCAAGGAGATGGCCCCTTCCTCCCTCTCGGGCCAGAGAAGACTCAGCGGTCTGTCCAGGGGTTTGCAGGGAGAATTGACCCGCCTCCTTCGTGACCGCAGACTGAGCTCCGGTCCACTGCACCTGCTGGCTGGTCGCCTCGGGTCGGCCCGGCCTCCCCCGGCGGGCGTCACGTGGACGCCTGCCCACCTCCCCCTGCGGGGCCCGGTTTTTGGCGCGCGGCAGT